TCGCCCCGCATGCTCTTGGGCCTCTGCCTCCCTAGTCCCAGGGATTCCTTTCTCCGCCGTGTCCTTCGTTTTCCCGCTCAGCCTGCACCTCGCTTGACTTTCTCCGGCCAGGCCTTTCTCCCTTCAGCTCTTCGGCCGGGCTTTCGAGCTCTACAGCCCTTTGTCATGTTTTCGGCCGCTCGCTTCGACTCGTCGGTTGTCCGGGGGACTATGTGCTGTCAGTGTCCGAGAACTCGCGGGTTTCCCACTACATCATCAACTCGCTGCCCAACCGTCATTTCAAGATCGGCGACCAGGAGTTCGAGCACTTGCCGGCGTTGCTGGAATTCTACAAGATCCACTACCTGGATACCACCACCCTTACAGAGCCCGCGCCCAGGTACGTGCCTCCGTGAACCCTCTCCCGGGTTGTGTGTGGGAGGCATGGGCTGCATTAATGCTCAAATAGCCACACCGCCTTGGGAGCTCTCGGGCAAAGGTTCTGTGCCGCTTCACCTTCCTGCTTGCAATTGTCTTGCGTGAAGGCGTGTATCAAGCCTGTTATTTGAGTGGCTGTACTTAGGTGCCATGCACTCTGCTAGTCAGCGCAGTTGGGGACTCTGCTAGCCTGGCTCAGATCCAGTGGAGGTGGTACTCTCTCTGAAGTTTTGTGCTTGGTTATTCTTCCTTACTCCTGTGTTTCGTGCTGATCTGAACGAGAGCAGGCCTGTACAACACATAGAATCCACGTACGGACTCAGTTGGACTATGGTGTACTCGTTGATTTTTAATGTTGGCGTTTTCTAGGCTAACATTTCCTAAACTCTCAAAAGTTGAGCCCCCCCACCCAAGTCCCACTAGTTGTTAACGGCCTGGCCATCTTAATGTAGGCCTTACATGTTCCACACTTTGGGAAAGCGGTTATAGAATATGGACTAAAGACCTTAGTACCTTCTTTGCAGCCAGCTCATTACCTTAGCTCATCTCATGTTTGCTCATGCCGTGCCCTATATCCAGTATAGTACCCTACTTGCCTGAGTCACTAAACTACAGTAAAAATGGTTGATAAATTTAGACTAAAGATAAAGAACTTCTCAGCAATCTGCTTTGAGGCCTTAGGAATCCTGCACAAACAGCTACTGTTGAAATGCTAAGCTAAAAATAATATACTAAAAAGCCCAAATGGTATTTAAAATCCAGTTTTAGCTCACTTGACTTACTTAGGCAGTTTAAAGTCTCCCCATTAGTGACAGGTGTTGTGGTTTTTTTTAAGAACTTCAGCTAAACTGATTCTCAAAAGGCTTGTCAAAAAACTTCAGCTGTCATGAAAGGTTCTGGATATAATTACTAAGCAGTGAAATAGTTTT